AAACGTGCGTTGCTAAAAAATAGATAAATACATATATGATATGGTCAACCTTGATATTATAGCCGTCACTGCAATGTTAAAAAAAAAAGGAAAGAAGAATAAGCAGTGGGCTTGTGACCCTCCCTTGTTCAAGCCTTGATGAGCTAATAAAATTGCCACACCAGAGAAGTAGGAAGTTAATATCGTGCAGACTTTAATTGCAGGTGTAATAGCATGTGAGCGTAGGAAGACGATGCCCCTTCAGTGGGATCCATGGCTGTAATGGGGCAAATATATATAGTGAAATAACAGTGGGCTATGGCTCTGTCTATTGCTTATGCCAGACCCTTGAGCTTGTATGCCTTTTCTTCTTGTGTGGCTTATGGAAGGCTGGCTTGCTTATGCCAGACCCTTGAGCTTGTATGGTCTTTAGGACTAAAGTTTGGCGCCGTATCGGTTAGATATTGAGCCAATAATGTTAGACGGTTTCATTACTCCAAATTGTAAATCTCTATCCCATCATACTCAGTACCTTGAAACTCCTTATTTTAAAGCATCATTGGGCAGTCAATTAATTCAAGTAATTATTCAAAAATGTCAAAAAAAAAATCAGCTAAAATAAAATAACCACTGTGCCACTCAATTTAAAATGACCTTTGTTTCATTAGGGCCATGTTATTTCTTACCAAATAATATTTAAAATTTTTATATGTGCGTAAGATTTAGATGTAAAGATGCCCAAAATCTCAAGTCAATCCAATCTATATAGGAAAAATAACATTGAAACACCCAACTTGCTCTAGATTGTCAAATCATAACTGAAGGCTGAGATCAATAGCATCTTATGTGAGCTATAATGTGGAGTGTCAAGGGTGCTTGAGTCATTTTATTTTTTAACATGTTTATTAAAAGTGCATAAGGGTGAGAAGCATAAACTCGCAAAATTTTCACTCAATCCGTTGCAAAAAAACATAAAATTGAAATTTTCGGGCATATGCTCTCAACTTTTCAATCATTATATGTCTTCCAAATAATTTTTCTTACATTGTTTTTTACAGGTGAAGCATGACCCCAAAATTTTAGCTCAATCCATTTATACAGAAAAAATAAGTAAATACTTAGACATGCTCTCAACTCATTAAAAATGAGTTCTTTTATGTGATCTAGACTGACCATTTTGTTAAATTGCCATAGATGAACTACGATTTCAAAATCCATTTCATTTAACAAACATCACCATCTCATTAACAAAAAGTTCGATGAACGATTAAAATTGGCTAATTTTCAAATCTCCCAGTTCACAAAATTCCAGCTTAAACCAAATGCAGTATTTTCCATGTTAGGTACTCAAAACTTCCATCTTCTAGATACTGGAATTGAAAATTTCCAACTCTGATTAACTTCCAATTGTTCCCCAGGCCAAGTTTGAACAAGGTTTGGCGTGCCTTGGAGAGGGGCAACGAGCAACTTCTTCCCATTGTCAAAACAAGAATCTTTGTTTTGGGTTGTTCGATGTTAGGATTCGCAAAGCCAAAAACTCATGAAGCTAGTTTTTCAAAGTTTAAAAAATCGCTGACTCAGATCAAAATCACCCAATTCTAATCGAGAATTAAAAGGCCGACCAGCCCACCTCTGCCATTTTAATGGTAAAAAAGCTTTTTTTTTCTCCAAGACGTTTTTTTACCATTCTTTTTATTTTCTAACAAAAAAATTATCTACTAGGGCCCACATCTTTGTGAAGGACCCACACTCAACTGTTTGTTCATTGTTTTCATCTCCCAAATATTCCAATGTTGTTCTATTGTAATGCTTTCTTTTAAGATTAGTGATTGTATACAATGAGATCATTTACTTTTGATACAAGGTGGTCACAATTCTTTACAATTATTTGATGTGAAATTTAAAAGCTTGGATATGTCACAAAGTCCAAGAATTTTTTTTTTGAAGTTTGAGCTTGGTCAATGGAATAATTGCAGCCACTCAATTTCACAGCCAATGGTTAATAGTAATGTGACCACCTTGTATCAAAGGTAAATGTTCTCATTTGATACTTTCTCTTAAAATTAACATGTATAATTTTCATCCTTCATAAGAAAGTTGAAAATTAAAGTGATCTCTCTCTCTCTCTCTC